GAGGCCGCTCCTTTTGGAGGAGAAGTTACTCACCCATCCCAGATAAATGAGCACCTCTGGCTTGTAACAAAACATATAATTTTAGATCCCATATGACATGTCATTATACTATTATTAGCATAATAGGTCTCCTCGCGTTCTTTTTCAGAACAAGATGGGACATCAACACATGAAAATAAGCGAACTCACACATGTAGTAGTGTTGCAAACACAAGAACGGAGTACCAGCCTCGCGGGAGACGCAAACCCCAATGTGTCAAATGTATCCGGAGCACAATACCTTTCAGTACATAAATACCACTTAGCAAGCTGTCTTTAAGTAAGGATTCTTTTTTTTTTGAGGCAGAGTCTCGCTCTGTTGCTCAGGCTGGAGTGCAGTGGCACGATCACGGTTCACTGCCGCCTCAACCTCCTGGACTCAGGTGATCTTCCCACCTCAGCCTTCTGAGTGGCTGGGACTATAGGCGTGAACCACCACTCCTGGCTAAATTAATTATTTTTTTTGTAGGAATGGGTCTTACTATGTGGCCCAGGCTGGTCTCGAACTCCTGGGCTCAAGCAATCCTCCTGCCTCAGCCTCCCAAAGTGCTCGGATCACAGGCACGAGTCAGTGCACCTGGCCTAAGTAGGGATTCTTTTTTTTTTTAATTGCTATTGTAAAGATGTGGGGTACAATTCAGCCCCTTTAAAAAGTGGGCAAAAGACATGAATAGACACTTCTCAAAAGAAGAGATACGGGCAGCCAACAGACACATGAAAAAGTGCTCAGCCTCCCTCATCATCAGAGAAATACAAATCAAAACCACACTGAGATACCACCTAACCCCAGTAAGAATGGCCATCATTAATACAACAAACAACAGATGCTGGCGAGGATGTGGAGAAAAAGGAACGCTTCTACACTGCTGGTGGGAATGCAAACTTGTACAACCTCTCTGGAAAACAGTCTGGAGATTTCTGAAAGAACTAGAAATTGACCTTCCATATGACCCAGCAATTCCCCTATTGGGAGTACACCCAGAACAGGGATTCTTACTGTCCTTGCAGGAAGGATTCACTGCTCATAGAAGTGGAACGTTCACCTTGAGTATAACTATGCCATCGGCATCAACTTTCTACATATGTGTAGGTATGTAGACTGGTGGAGACACGAGACTCACCTGTCTCCAAGGATGGGTGAGTTGAGTTTAACAAATATTTATTGAGTTCTGTTCTGATTATCTATTGCTGTGTAACAAGCGGACCCACATGCACGGTTCCGGACAGTTTGCAATTCTCTTTCAGAGTGCCGGGGACTGGTGGGCACAGCTGGGAGGTTTGCACTGGGGGATTCTCATCCGGTTGCCATCAATGGCAGTAGAGGCTGGAGTCATTTGAAGGTTTTTTAAAAAAATGTACGTTTCAGGTTCCTGGGCAGACTGGAAATCTCTCTTTCTAGGTGGCGTTTTTACATGGCTAGCCTGGGCTTTCTCACAGCATGATGGTCTGAGTAGTTGGACTTTGTGTGTGTGTGTGTGTGTGTGTGTGTGTGTGTGTGTGTTGGAG